ACTTTCAGTGGCGACAAAAAAGTCGCCGCTAAACATACCGAAAATCTTTTAGCGGTGACATCCAAAAGTGTCTTTCAGCAGCGACATTCTTATCGCTGCTAAAAGGCTTTTCAACGGCGACATAACTTCTAAAAGTCGCTGCTGAAAGTATCTTTTAGCGGCAACCTTTTTAGTCGCCACTGAAAGTTTTCAGCCACGGCTGCTACGGCAACGACTTTTTAGCGGCGACTTGTCACTGCTGAAAACTTTCAGCGGCGACTTTTATACTTTTAGCGGCGACTTTGAAAGTCAATTTTTTTGTAGTGATTCACTACCTCATATGAGTAAAGTTGAAAAAGATTCTCAATTTAAAACACATTTAATGAATTAACTTACGATTTCTTGATTTTGATTAATTGGTTAAAATGATTTATTTTTGGACTGAGGGAGGTACACAACCTAAGAAATTTATCATTTTAAGTTTTTTTGGAATTAAAATATTTTATAAACTTATCCAATTCTAATACACAAGCAATTAATCAAGAACGTTAGTAGAAAATAAGTATTTTTATTGTTAAAGAAAAAACTAACTTGATGGCATGATTGTACTACTATGAAAAATAAATTCATGGGGTGAACAATCTGACCCATGTGAAAGGCACATTTGCAAAGAACAAATACAAACATTGAACGTTGTACCCTAAAAGAAGTCAAAATTGCGTAGTCTTTACTCTCTCCCGTGACCGCTTTGAAGACGACCTGTTCTTTGCAATTATTTTTTGCAGCCCGAAAAGAACGTTAGCGTGAGAAAGGAAGCTTGTATGGATATTTTGTTCTTCATTAATATTATCTCAGGTCTTTAATATAAAAACTAGTTGACTAATTTGAGTAAATTAAAAAATTTTTATTAAATTAGCTATTTGTAATACTTAGGTATTGTCTTTCCTAAAATATCATTATTAATCATGTACATTCGTTATAAATATTATTTGATGAGATCTTTAACATGTGCAGCTGCTATAAAGACTATTTTGAAAAACAAAATGAATAAATATGACAGACAAAGTGAATTGAGATCTTATATTTAAAATAAAGTCAAACTAGTTTTTATTTTAAGGACTAAAGTCAATATGATACTGCAATAGGTGACTCAAGTTAAAAGGATATTATAATAAGCGACGGAGAGAGCATTGCATTAGGTGACTCAAGTTGCCTCCACTTTCTCTGCTTCATTGACTCATCATATCAATATCAATTTCCTCGCTGCTTTCTCCTAATTCACTCAAATTTTATAAACTTATCCCATTCAAAAAAAAGAAAAAAAAAGAAAGAAAGAAGTCTTTTGGAGAAAGAGACTAACGATTCGATCACGGACGAAATAACAAATATACGAATGAGATGCCCTAAGATATTGATAAAATATTACCCCTCCTGTCTTTGTTTCTTACAAGAGATGGTTTTTTGAAAAGGCATGTTACCTTTTATAAGAAATAGCTTAGAAGTGTCTAAATATTTAACGTAATTTTTTTTTCATATTTACTCTCAATTAATTAGATTTTCTTTCACCTTTTTTTCCTCATTCTCTCTCCCACCTATTTTTTTTTATAAAGGTGTTTTTGGAAAATAAATTAGTTTTCTTTGCATATTTATGGCACTTAACTAATTTTAGCCACATCTTTTATTAATATGATTCCGTTAACCGTCTTATAAAATGGAACGAGTGGTATTCTACAAAACTACTATCATTCGACACTATATAATTGTATATATCATGTGTTTATTTTGATGTTACCTGCCTCTGAAATATATGACCATCATCAATCTTAAATGCAAGTCACTGTTACCTGCATTATTCCATTTGATTCATAATATAAATTGCTTTTAAAAGAATGATTTAGTTCAAAATACAAGTCACTTAAAAAAATAATTAATGTCTATTTGTAAATTTTATCCCTATAATTAATGTTTAAATATAATTCCTTTTATGTTTCTCTCTCATTCACTACCTCGTTTAATACGAGTAAAGTCGGAAAAGATATTTAATTTAAAGCACATTTAATGAATTAACTTACAATGTCTTGATATTGACTAGTTGGTTAAAATGACTTATATTTTGGAATGACGGGGGTATACAACTTAAGAAATTTATCACTTTAAGTTTTTTTCTGAATTAACATGTTTTATAAACTTATCCAATTCTAATACATAAGCAATGAATCAAGAACGTTAGTAGAAAATAAGCATTTTTATTGTTAAAGATCGGTCTGACTTATATGTATATATATTCTGAAATTTAAATCTATTTTTTTCTTCAAAAAAGTAACTTGATAGCATGATTGTACTACTTCGGAAAAATTACCTCATGGTGTGAACAACCTGACCCATGTGAAAGGCATATTTGGAAAGAACAAACATAAACATTGAACGTTGTACCCTAAAAGAAGTCAAAATTGCGTAGGCTTTGCTCTCTCCCGTGATCGCTTTAAAGACCACAAGTTCATTGCAATTATTTCTTGCAGCCCGAAAAGAACGTTAGCGTGAGAAAGGAAGCTTGTGTGGATATTTTGTCCTTCGTTAATACATCAAAAGTCTTTGAACCTGGACAAGAGCTAAAGTCAAAGTCAATATGATATTGCGTTAGGTGACTCAAGTTGCCTCTACTTTCTCTGCTTAATTGACTCATATCAATATCCTTCCATTCAAGAGCAATTTTATTGCCTTCCCCCTCCCCGGATTACAAGTCATGGCGGCATTACGTGTATAATATTTTCATTTTTATATATTTGATCTTTTTATCCAAAAAAAGAACGTAGAGAGAGGTTTGATATTAATTGGGAGAATGACATTGAAATCACGGGGAAGGGAGAATGAAATTTCTAATAATAATATAATAGTCCTTCTAGAAAAAATTCTTAGTCTTTTTTATAAGATCCTTTGACAGTTTCAATGAGTATTAAATTTTTTTTTTCATATATGTCTATATTTAATGTGAATAGTGAGAGAATAAAAACTAATATGATGTTAGAATTTAGTGAAATTAATAAGCGTAGTTTTAGAAACTATTTGAATTTCAAGATAGATTTAAAGCTTTTAACTAGTTTTATTGGTATGTGTAAATTAGTTAGTGTATTCTTATAATAATAAGGACCAGAGAGAATATCAAACAATATGTTTCGATCAATGGTGGTTTGAATTTGGATTTAGATTTGGATTAAATTCATTATTTGGATAGATAAAAATTTGTGGGATTTCGATAATTGAGTAACCATTGTCCTTTTCCCATGCTACCTTCCTCTTTTAGCTGTCTCTGCCGTTTCATGTTAAACCATTATCTTCTAAGTATGTGTTATAGGTTTGAATTAAAACATAGGAATAAAATTTGAAATTGTTATACTCCCCCGGTTCCTCCTGTGTTGAATACAGATTTAGATAACAAACTAGGACTTTTCCCCGTGCGTTGCACGGATGGTTGCGACGCACGTAGTTTTTTATGGGGTTCGTATTGTCGTTCTTGTTTTACCCATAAGTTTATAGAAGGCGAGGATGGTTATCTGGTGAAGTTCATACACACAAGTTTATCCCAGAGTTATAGATTTGTATTTAATGTAATGCAATAGTGGTTGCTGTCATTCTTATAACACAAAGTTGAAAGGCGGGCGATGAAATGGATGATTTGGTCACACCGAACGGACATTATGAAAGACCTCCCGATATACCACACTACGAGGAACACGGGTGGAAGACCTCTCGATAGGATATTAAGGCTGTGCAACTTTTTTTTATAGAGACTCCTTTTTAAGTACGCATTATTCTATTTGATTGATTCAATACTAATAGAGGTGGTGAAGTGCAAAGTAGTGTCTGTGAGCTGCTCCAATGTAAATAATTCTCATTTTATTAAAATGCATCACATGACACAACTGTGTAATTTTGAAGAAGGTAGTTCTCATACTAATAGTGTGAAGACGGCAGTGGGCCCAAGTTGGTGAGAATGAGGTCATTTTGAATTAACATTTTGGAAGATTTCCCTGTAGACCACATTCCGAGTAACATTTGTGGGTTTACTGTTCGAATCGAGGATCAATATTTTGAGACCGTCCATATTTTTTACCCTTGACAATGCGACATACAGCTGTCCATGTGTAAACACCGGCTTGGCCAGGTACAAACCGACGTTCGTTAATGACTGGCCTTGGCTCTTGTTGATGGTCATCGCAAAAGAGATTATGAAGGGGAACTGTCATCTGGTCATTTTGAATGGGAGGGTGGTCTCTGAAGGATTCATGTCCATGCGGTGGATGAGTACCTGGTCACCTGTGCTTAGGGCTGTTCACGGGACGGATCGGGACCGGGACAGGCCCGTCCCGGTTCCGTCCCGGTGAACAGTAACGGGACAGATTTTCTGTCCCGTGTCCCGGCCCGTCCCGGGGTTGTCCCGGTCCCGGTCGGGACGGGACGGATCCGGGACGGGACCGGGACGTCCCGAACCCTTTTTTTTTTTTTTTAATTTTTTAATTTTTTTTAAATTTTTAAAAATTTTTTAAATAAAATCTGATTTTTTTAATTATGTTTTTTTGGGCTTAAATCTTATAAAAACATCTTTTTATTTATTTGTTTGGACACTCTTAAATAAAAACTTAAAATATTACATATAATAATCATTAAAAACTCTAAACAAAAGCTTTTAACACAATAAAAACTTGCTAAAAATTCTAATCATCAATAATCTCAAATCATTAACAAATATAAAAACTCTAAATAAATATATCTATAGTTCCATACAATAGTCTCAAATCTTAAAAAGATATGAAAAAAATAATATTATATAAATGGGATAAAAAATTAAAAAAATTTAAAAATAAAAATAAAAAAAGGACCGGGACGGGACGACCCCGTCCCGTGTCCCGTCCCGTCCCGGTCCATTTTTTGTCCCGTCCCGGTTTGTCCCGTCCCGAAAAATTTCGGGACGGATCCGTCCCGTTCCAATAAGACCGGGACCGGAACGGGCCGACCGGGACGGGTCATTCTTGAACACCCCTACCTGTGCTTGTTCCATTTAACGCTACCGCCTTGATAAAGTTTTTGCCCAGATACGTGATACGAAGCCTCGTTCCGTTGCATAGGCCTGCAGACTGGTCGATGTTTCGCAATAGCATGACTGGTATTCCAACCTTCAAAGAGAGCTTGTGGGGCGGCATCCCAGAGCAATTTATTGTGTTGAGGAATTCCGGGGAGTACAGATCCTCAAATGAGCTGCTATCCTGATCGGTGCTAGAGATGGAGTCAGAACTGAGATACTGAACGGGGTCTCCAGGGAGGAGCGACAGCATGTAATCATTTATCTGGTCGACGACATCAGTTGTGGGGGCTAAAATCGCCCTTTCTGTGAGGTAGTTTGGATGTGTTATGTTCTGTTGGAGTGCGAGATATGTAGACGAGACTATAGAGTTGATAGGGTCAAGGGAGTCAGTGATGAGGAAATCGGCTGGGATCTCAATGTCCGTCGTGCCCTCATGGGGCAGCCCAATTGTACCATCACCAACGTCAAGCAACCATCTGGAGAATTCACTAACCTTTTTCTGGTCTATTGCCTCAGCAGCAAACTGCAGGCGCATGTTTTTAGTGAGCTTGAACAGCTTGCACGACAGCCAAAGTGCGGATGAGTTTATAGCCGCGTTGATAATGTCGGCACGGAATCCCTTCGGTATGACAGGTAAGATCTGTCTAAAATCACCCCCCATGATGACGCACTTGCCACTGAATGGGAGGTCGCACCTCATTATATCCTTTAATGATCGATCTACAGCCTCCACACAATGCTGTTTTATCATTGGGGCCTCGTCCCAGATGATTAATTTTGCGGACCGTAGTAAATGAGACACAGGAGAACCGTGGCTAATGTTACATGTGGAGTCCTCAGTTATGTCGATGGGGATCGCGAATCTCGAATGAGCAGTCCTTCCTGAGGGCAGTAGAGTCGCTGCTATTCCACTCGATGCGACGTTGATGACCACGTCGCCATTTGCTCGTACAGCCATAGTCAGGGCATTCCAGAGGAAAGTCTTGCCAGTGCCCCCGTAACCGTAGACGAAGTAGAACCCACCGGTTTTCCTGCTAACCGCGTCAAGGACTTCGTGGAATATCTTTCTTTGCTCATCTGTTAGTGACATTGCTAACCTTATAGCATCTGCGGCACAAGCATCTTTGTCATAACTGAGTTCTTGGAGTAGCAAGTTGTTTATTGTGTCCAAGAATTCGGTGGAGCTTGGTTTTGGCAGCGATGGGTAGTCGTCTAGTGACCTTCCATTCTTTAAGAGTAGCCTCTGAATCTCAATAAGTCCAGCCTCCTCCTTGTCTGAGTCGGTGATCGACATTTCTGCAGGTCAAGAAAAGTAAGAGATGTTATGGCCAGGCGCGTCTAACAACAATAGATGTCGTTGATCAGGGTGACCACTTGGTGTCTCTATAGGGTGTGTATTGTACGTTCAGAATGTTGTGTGAGTGGAACATAGTTCAGGTAGTGTCTATTTTACCTTGATGTCGTGGGTCGTGACGTGGAATGTACAGAAGGTCTTCACATATGAGATGCTTTGTTTGCTCCCAGACTGAAGTGGGGTCAGACAAGCAGTGGCATAAGAGCATGCTGACAAAGAACCTCCTGAGGTACTGACCTGTAGCCCAGAATGCCGCCTCTTTTATCGCGTCGATGTACTCTTGATCATCTTGAAGCAACCCCAGCGCATAGCACACCGCCCTGAATGTCGGCTGGACGATGTTGTCTACTGTCCTGATGTCTCTGTAGCTAAGGGGCCCTCTCATCTTAGTCAGCAGGACCCGGAGGTAGTAAGCCTCGCCCTGGGATGGTGATACGTGAGCTAATCTCCCAACAGAGAAGCCTCTTTGGCGCAACCTCCACTCCCTCATCTGCTTATTGAAAGTGTAATGTTGTGGGAACTCGGAATATGTTAGGGTCCTTACGAATGAGTCTTCTTTATTCTTGGCGAGCCATGCAAGGAACATTGACTCCTTTACCCGTGGCCTGTCAATCAGGGATGGCATTTCGTCGTTGGCCGTGTAAAAAACAGCCTGTTGCTCTGGTAGATGGAAGCTCAGTCTCTCGACAGAGGGGTACCTGTGGTGGATGTCGAATGAGAATATTCGCCATGCGCCCTCACAGGCTGAGATGTATCTGCAGTTAAGGTAATGTGAGATCTCATCAAAATCGGGTCGTGAGCTTCCAGGCTCATCATTGTGGTAGATCCCTGCGATGACATGGTCGTGGCCCTTGCTGATGTATTTGAACAAATACTTGATAGCCCTTGATTGGTTTGTCTTCTCGACATTTAAGTGACCCTGGAAGAGTCGTAATAGTTGAGCATTGTACGGGACGACATATCTGTTGTCCAACTGAATTCCTTTCTTCACAGTCGTTGTGCCATTGTTCCTCCTACGGTATGTGGGGTACCCATCATCATCTATTATTGTGTGTGGCGCATATCTTCTTGGGAAGTACTTTGAGCACTTTTCATCTTTCATGCAAGGTGATTTCCGATTGGAGGGACCACAAGGCCCGTGCATCATGAAATTGGTGACAAGCTCAAATAGCACCGGGTCTTCGTCCTTGTCAGGTATCTCTGTTGAGATGATTCTGTCGACGTCCTCAGCTGTCTTGGGTTTGTCAAGTGGCTCTATGAACAAAATAATGTGTGCGTGCGGCAGCCCCCGCTTCTGGAACTCGATTATATATATCTCTAAAAGTCCGCATATCAGTACACGATAGTGGTTTATTTTGGTGATTAAAGGGAGGTTATACTGTTACCTGCTTTTATTCTGCCGAATATTTTTTGCTCCTTAATGCATTTCATCAGTGCTGCAAGTTTGAGGCTGAACATCCTCGTCAAGATGTCAGGTTGATCGGATGGGTTGAGGTTGTGTTTCTGGCATAATCTTGTTATCTCAGGCCATGCTGGATGGCAGGTGAAGGTCAAGAAGATATCGGGGTATCCAGCCCATTTGCATATGGCCATTGCATCTTGGTAGTTATGGATCATGTATCTAGCACCTCCAGTAAAAGAAGAAGGTAGGATTATCCTCTTTCCTGTGTTGGACGCATCTGTCTCGCCCCTTGTTATTGCGTCAACGAGTCCTTTGTATAGGTCAACCCTGAGCTCTCTCTGGTGTCTCCTTATGTAGTCGAGCCTCTCACTCTCAACCATTGCGAAGCCGTCTACGATGAATTGTTGTAATAACCTCTTTGAGTGCAGTAACACAGACTCCTTTATATTTCTATCCATCAGTCTGAAAGCTAAGTACTCTCTTATTGTGAGGTACTTTTTCTTCCTAGTGCTAATAAGAGATGCATCGTTATGTTCCGTCTTCGATACGAAGCTGTTATTACCGTAGTGGAAGATGAGGGGATATTGAAGAGGCAAGTACGACTTGTGCAATTCATGGACGCGCTTCAAGGAGCCTGCTTTCTTTTCTATGATTATGTCTCTGTTGACATATGATTCATCAAAATCTCCAACTATCAATGCGGCTACCTCTGATTTCGTTGGCAGCTCGTAATTTTTGCTCGTATTGTTTGATTCTCTGAGGAGGCGTATCTTGACTTCAGCAGTGTTGTCTTGGCGAAGGATTTCTGACGTCATACGGTATTTCTTAACCAGGGCGTTATGCTGGTCGAGGCAATCTTTAATGTCCATAGCAATGGCTTCGTCAATGCCCGATTTGTCTGGATGGTGCCTGCAATTGAGAGGTAAGGTTTAACATGAAGTGTGTTGTAAGGAGAACATGATGATAGAGGATATAAGTAGCATAAGGTGGACGCACCTGATCGCTGCCATCCGGTTCCTTATTTCATTGTCCGTGTCCTAAATATAGAGCTGTGAGTACACAGGAGGGCATCCTTCAGGTGGCAATAAGCTTCCCAAGAGGTGATAGTTCTGGCCGGACATGATAAAGGAGTAGGGGCCACCTCCGCGAGAGTTGAGGGAATGGTCAATCTTTCCTCCCATAGAAGTAAAGCAGAACATATTGTTGTATGCTCTGATGTTGGCCAAGAAGTTTTTAGATTTCGGATGTTCTTTTTGGAAGAAAAGCTGTCGGAATTGTTCTGGTGGGGTCTGAAGGTAAGGCACAACAACCTTGCCGTGACAACAACAGGTTGAGAAAAGCGGGTATTCAGAAGAAGAGCAACGCTTGAGGCGCTCGCCAATCCAGAGTAAGGCACCACAAAATTGACACTCGTAGACGGGGTCGCCATCATCTAAGTAGCTTGTAGTGGACACATGAGGCTGGGTGTATTCAGATGTGCTGGATGTTTGTGTGTCATCATGGGCGACTTCAATGCTAGTGGCTGCGTGTAATTTGGGGTTTCCGTCAGCAGTTTCTCTTGGTTGCATCATTGCTACATTATGAACTTATGATTTGCTGGATGCGATGTCGGGCTAATCTATGTAAATATGTAGTGATCGAATATTTGGAAAGATTGGTGTTCCTTGCTGCCTATTGACTTGGGACAATACACTATCTGTGGTTTGTGTTAATTTTCACGGTAATTTATTCATGACTGTTTAAGCGAATCATATTGGATGAATTTGAAAATAAGCATGGCAATTATATTATATTATAATAATAATAAAGTGAACATGTTTTGAGAGGAACGACAAACTCTCTGGATCATAATTTGCAAAGAAATGTGCACAGCAAAAATTAATGTTAGAAAAGAAGCAGAAATAAAAATATAGCAATCTGAATTTAATGGGCAAAAATTTGGCGAATCACACGAAGTCGTCAATATTCTGTAAAAAGAAGATTTGTTAAGAATTTTTAAGTGAATGAAGACATGAAGAATATAAAACCCAATAAAACATCGCTTCATTTTGAAAGAAGTCGCGTTCTTGATTCGTCTAAAATGGTGCCACGGCTTTGATTTGTTAATTTTTTAATGGAGTATTTTTGTTTAAAAATTGCCCTGTTTGTTTAACTTATGTTTTACTAATTCTGTCCGTCAAATTAAATTTCTATTTAATGAATAATAAGTATTATTATTCATACCTTTCATACCTTTTAAATAATATATTGTAATAAATCATAATGTCTCTTATATTTTTGGCCATGCCATTAGAACATAATTCATATCACAATGGCATGAGGTTGAAAATGAACGTTAAATGTAAATGAAATTATCCCACTTCTCTAACCTTAAATTCAAATACTTCCCATTGGAGCCCTTTTTTCCTAATTACATAACGTACTAATTAATAATACGGCTGCAGATTTATTTCCCGAGAGTGTATATGTATATGGTTTTCAAAATTAGTAAATGTTGGAGGCATAATTAGAACCACAAACTGGATCTGTGTAGTATTATATTAAATTAACTACACTACAAAATTGAGGAGTGAAACACTCTTGTCCGGTATATTTGTAGTATCACGATGAAGATAAAGTTGCCATACTTCTATGGAAATAACTTTATCCTAGCCACTATAGGAATTAATGACACACTAAATTTATTTGAGAAGAGTGAAGTACCTGTTATGATATGCTGATCGAGGATGGGATTAACGCTAGCATCTTCATTGGTTGTGTCTGGAAACCGTCTTTTCTTTGATTTGTGCAGAGTTGACTCTTGTATATAATGATTTGGATGATCTGTTACTGAATTGTTTATTTCAGTCATTAGCACAAGATGTTTCTAGCAATAGCACAAAGGAGAAGTAACTAATATTTTCCATTATAATATTTTTGTGGTTCATGTGTATATACACATTCGTTGTCCATATACACACACATATATTTAAAGAAAATGAGATTTGACGTATATGGTCTATATGGCATCATCTCTATGAACTACCATTCCACTGTTAAATAGAGTCATGAGTCCTTTGATTGATGGATATAATTTTGCCATAGTAATAGGACAGAGAGAAAACAACTAACATACAACATGATATGTAAAGGAAAACTTGCCTTGTTTAGAGCTTTGAAGGTTGATGCTGGATGCGGTTTTGTCCATGCCGGCAGTGGATTGTGTGATGAGTAAGAAGTAAATTTGATGTGAAGAGCGGTTAATTGTATGGGCACAAGATGGTAAAGCTCACGACAATATGTTAATCGCATTGCATTCCTCAATAGTGTTATTTGCCCCTCAATTATTGATTGTTAATTGGGTTATTCAATGTCTTGTGTGATTCAGTTTGTGCAGTAATGAACGGATTAAGCTTGCTGTTACATTGTAACGGACGAGGTCCTTTAATATTGACTGTTGATTGGGTCAGTTATGCTTGGATGATGCCACAAGCCTTGTTAATAATTGATGTAGGTAACCGTCATCTACAACAGGGGGAAAATCTCAAAAGGTGGTTCTTGTTGAAGTTCACATTTTCAGCAAACGGAGCAATGTTGACAGTAATTCAGGATGTTCAGGAATACCATGGCATCAGTTCTAAATGCATAATGTAAGATGACGATGCCTCAACAACAGAGTGTCTTTTTTGAGTGTGTTATAATTAAGAATATGACAATGAATGTATCAAAATTATAGATCACGAATTTTGGGTCGCCGATCTTTGTTAACTTGACCAATAATCACTAAATCATTTCATATGAGGATAAATTGGAATAGCGAGTACAATTATTTGGATAAATATCGGACAAAGGATGTCAAGCACAAAGATGAACTTACGTCATCCCAAGATCTCCCTTATGCAAACCGTGGGATATACAGGCGCATTAGGATTGGCAAATGATATGTAATTGGAAACTGACACAAGTCTAGGCTGCAATGTTCATCATATTATTTTTGCGCGGAAAATGATCAGTGACGTTTCTTCATGATACTATTATATTTGGAATAAGACTTATCTCATTTATGAATGCATCAATCATCAGTGTGGAAATGTAACGCATCAATGTTTTTGTAATCCAAATTGAAATAGTAATAAATTCCAAAGTAATTAATTGATAATTGATTGTGAAGTTGATGAATGCATAGATGAATTTTATAGAAATATCCCGGAGAAAATATAAACAGAGTGAAAAATTGATAAATAATTTGATAGCAAAGAATATTGCAAAAATTTAATGAGTACATGGAATAAAATATTAAAATATATGTCCAATAGTTATAAATGCTGTGACTGTTGTTCTTCATGTGAGTTATATGTAAATAATAATACTTTGGACCTTTATTATTCGAATTCCTTAATTCATTTGATTTTAATGCATTCATTCGAATTTGATTTATTACACTGAAATGGTGCCTTGTAATAAAATCGTACCTTGTTACTAATGTTTGTAACACAATGTCTTTAACAACATAAATGTTTGCTTGCAGCAAACAATGTCACTACTGAGAGAGCTGAGAAATCAAACTTTATCTTTCTTTTCAATTAGGGAAAAATGCATGAAATTAAGGAAGATGCTTAGATTATTTGAGGGAAATATATACCATATTAACCAATAATTTAACTAAGATCGTTGATATACTCAAATTAGTTCATTGAGTTTTATATTAAGGACTTAAAGAATAAGAATTTTTTCCCTGATCAGATTAGTGAAATATATCTGTTTGTCAATTAAAATAGTTTATCACGCAAGTAGAGAGCCACAATTGACAATCTAAAAACAATCCAATAGCTTGTCCTTTTTTCCCTAAATAAGTTATCCATTAATTATTAATTAATTATTGTGAATATATTAAAAAAATGATATGTTTTGACTTGTTAATTAATGATCAATATTAATGAGTAATAGTAATAGTAACAAATGGTGGAAAGTGAATTACTCTATTGAGTAATATATAAATTAGTTAGATATGAACAATATCTAGTTTTGTATATTTAAACATATTATTATTGATTTTGTTATTTTAAAGATTCATTAGTTGGAGCAAAATGCAATCTAGCTTCTCTAAACAAATTTAACAATTAAATCGAATTAGAGTGTTACTAAAACTGTTAAATTAAATTACATAAATATGACTCTTGGAAAAATTAAACATGTAAGTTAGTATTGGGAATCCATTAAAACTTTACAGGTCTTGGGAGAGGTGAAATTAGAAAGTAAAAATTATATTAAAATTTAAGTTACTAAAACTGTTAAATTAAATGACATAAATATGACTCTTGGAAAAATTAAACATGTAAGTCAGTGTTGGGAATCCATTAAAACTTTACAGGTCTTGGGAGAGGTGAAATTAGAAAGTAAAAATTATATTAAAATTTAATTATTACTTATCTATAACCTCATCTAATTTCAAACAATAATGCATTCCAAATTAATCAATTTTGATAGTAATAAAATATTCGTAAAACTTAGTGAGCATAAAAAATGTCATATGTAAATATATGCAGAGCAGTTGAAAATGCTGCGAGTTTTGGTATTCACGTGAACTATATATAAATTATATATAAAAGATGATGAAAGATTTATAGATGAACTTCAAAAGCATCAATACTAAAACATTATTTCAATGATAGGTCTTTTACGTTAAGCAGTAATATGGCTATCAAGTAAAAAAAAGTGCGCAATCAAATTAAGATCTGATAATGTCACCACTGAGAGGGATGAGAAATCAGTCTTTATCTTCCTTCTCCTTTTTGATGTTTTTCAATGGCTTCACGTAGCTGGACTTTGTAGTTGTGTTGGCAGACAATCTCGTCTCGTCATCATCAATTGATGAATCAAGCGGATTTTTTTTACGCTTAGACAATGTGTTCAGAGAGCCATGCAATTGAGATCTTAAGAGATCATTATCCACGTCCAGCATGCCACATGACAACAATGTTGTTGGTTGTGATGATGAAGTGTCAACTGTAGCCTTCTCATGAGTGATATTCTCAGACTCATTAGGTTGACTTCCCTACATAATTGTGTGAAGGAGCTCTAACATGTTAGATTTTAACATTGAGTACTGAGATATGATGAGGAAGAGTTATTTGAATACCTTGATAGCAGAGTACGTAAAGTTTTCCAGCATCTTTTTATCAGTAGAGAACTGGATAACACCCATACTGCTATTTCGATACCTAATATTGCTTTCTTTGATCTTTAGCTTGACAATCATTTCTTTCCCCATACAATTGCTCAATTCTTTCGGAAAAGAACCTGGGTTTTTGTCCTGAAATAACAGGTTGGGAAAGTACAAAGGTTATGACACGAGTGTTGAGTTGAAGAAGTGCAATGTAAGAGTCATACCTTTGCTACCTTTGTCTTCAACTGCTCAGCTGAGAAGCCAATCAAATCACAAGCAAGACGATTGAAAAATATGATTGAACATATGCCCGTTGAATCAAACACCGTGTAATGGAGCTTAAATCTATGAAACAATATGAAATAGTATTTCAGTTACATTTTCATTTTTCATTGGTTAGAACATAAATAGTGTAGACATTTGTTCATTCTGTAAAGAGATTTACATATAATCTTACTTGGGCTCAATAGTCAACACATCATTCGTATAGCTTTTGCATTTTAGTTTGTCATTTTCATATACAGGTTTGCGATCGCATGAGCACCCATCATAGGTCCAGCCGTAAGCAATCTCAATCTTTTGGATGCAAACCTTAGTTACAACTTCACACGGCTATTTTCAAAGAACAAATGTAGTCAATAAAAATCTTAGGATAACTAAGATGAAAGAAAAAAGACATCTGAGAAACAAAGAAGCTAAGATTTAATGATCTTGACATGGAGCAAAAAATATACATTATAATTTATGTTTGTTAGCAAAATATATGTAAAATCTTATATGGACCAAACATACGCAGAACATATAACAAAATTACCGACATATATTTGTAATCAAGGTAGGAAACAAATAAGCAGCACGGACATACATATCAATAGGAAGCATATATAAAAATATATGTAGTATAGCAAAAATCATTCTTCCTTGGTTTGTCAAGAACATAAATAATATTTTGCATTCAGATGTGAGATGTAACGTGAATTTTAGTATTAGGAGTTTATGAAACCCTGAAAAATCTGGAAAAACATGTATTAGATGTGCACAATTATATCTTAATTTTATTAACTATAATGCACATCGAGATAATAATAATTTCAAAATTAATCAATCAATTAATTAACTATTAAATATTGTTAAGAGACATCATGGTACCTCAGTAATTGTGGAGAGTTCAGCCACATGTATTCTTATTGGAAATGTTAGCATTGACTCATTGTCTACAACTTGGTAATCTGCACTGGAAAGTTGAGAGAAGTGCTGCCTACCTTCAGGTATTTCGTCAAGGCTAGCAACAACAATAATAAAAATGATTAAGATTTTTCAGTCATTGCAAATATCAATAAATATTTATGGATAGTAAATATGTATTGGTGGAAAATCTTTTCATGGGGCTTCACCTTTGAAGTAGGTCATGGGCCTCTGGAATGTTAGGGTTGAACAAAACTTTAGTTGCTTCAAACACGTTGCTAATATGCCCATACGCTAATAATGTGCCAATCAAAGTGTTAGGGTCATGAAATTGATTTTTGTTTAAATGCAAATATGTTTGTTGTACCTTGTTGGTTGTTTAACCTTCCAAATCTGACCATCACAATAATAGGATGCTTTGATCCTTGAGGCTTGCTATTATATGTATTTACCGCGCAGTTACCAAACAATACCACCTTTATTGCGCTCTCACTGCAAGAAATATGTTGCAACTTTAGTTAGAATTAGAGAATGGCAGTAATAAGAAGATAAAATGATGACAATCAAGGTTGTTACTATTGATTAGAAAGAGTCAGGGTGATTGTTTTCGAAGTTCCAAATGTGTTTTTGAAGTCTTTCAAATCCCCAAATGCCTGGAGGAAGCCGATGACATCTACACAAAGAATATATGATGTTACAATTTTAATTGTAGTGAAAAATTAGACTTTGAAAAGAGAACTTAAAGGAAATATTTATATATTAACCAATAAATCCTTCATTCTTTGCAGTGTATTCCGCAATATCCTTGATAGGGATGAAGTTGAAAGACTCTTTGGGAATAGGCAAATCCAATTCTTCAAAGTATGTTGTGTTGTGGAACTTAAGCCTCCAAGAATGTGATGTCACTTTGTACTTGTTATCATTGCCAACTATCTGAAAGTTTTCGCAGTGGTATACTCTACCCTCTTTAAGATCATTCTTGTATCGCTCAATCAAGCCCTTTTGTGTTGCAAAACCTTTTATTCTTGAACCCTAATCAAATTTTGTGTTGTCATTTAAGAGTGTTATTTATCCTAAATAAATAGTCAATAACAAACGTTAACTCGCCTGCTCATCTACAAGGAGCATTCCAATCCTCCAAGGAGCATACGGTGGAGCCTTCTTATAGGAAACCCACTTCCTAAGAACTCGAGCAACAATTGTCCAGGTCTCTTTACTATTATTGATATCTTTTATCATGTCCCGATTGGTGCTTGCCATGCTATGATGATGCTATAATTGGCACCCGCTGACAAAGCTACAACAAATACAAGTTTAATGTAGTAATGCATTAAATAACATAACATATAAATCACACAAAATACATGGTATATACATGGCACAAAATAAATAGACAAGCAAAGTGTCAAAGGCTTAGATTGGGAGATTTCAATAAAGGAGACACATCACAGAATTTTGAATACTTGTCAAATCCTCATTAACCGTTGAATTTACAGTTTTAAGTACTAATAATGTTTGATTTTAGCATAACTATTAGCAGCCCCATGGTTATTTTATTTCAGTTTGCATGGTATCCCAAGGCTTCAATATATCAAATGTACCAAAAGGTGGTTTTTTCCTGGGGGATAAAATTAAAGGCAAATGGACATTAAACTATAAAGAAAAAGTGTCTTAAATTGTTTTAGCATCTCACCAATACCATCTTAGGCAAACATTTTATATTTTATCTTTATATTCTAGGCGGCTCTAAAACCTCCTCTTTTTCTTACATTTTTCATGCTATTTAATTCATCATAATTTAGTTAAGGGAGCAAGATTCAAACTAACTTTTCAGCTTCCCAAACATTAGCCAAAAAACTAACAAAGCATAAAATCATGGTAGAGTTTCAAGCAATGCCATTTAATCCAGAAAAACCTTCAGCAAGTAACAAAGAATTTTGGTCATCATAATAAAGTTTTGGCATGCTTAACATTATAGTACTTCTTTTAAGTATCAGCAACACTTGTATAACCCATTCATATCCATTAACTAATCGAGAAAATCCTTCAGCAAGTAACAAAGAATTTTGATCATCATAATAAAGTTTTGGCATGCTTAACATTATAGTTCCACTCCATCAGCACTGCCTTAACCATCATTTTGACACTTTGTAGTGTGCATTACTACTTAAAAAAGCACTTAACAGTAGGGATATTGTATCTTTAAGCTTCAACTACAAATTTTCATCAGGCCCAAAGCGTCACAAACACGCACACTCATGCTGTATCCGTTACTTTGTAACATTTCTATGCAATACCCATAAAGAGAAGTAAGCCAACCTCCACTATACAGCGAAATGCAGAACTGAACCCATCATTTTAGAATCTTCAAGTATTATTTAATCATTTTAAATAGTTTTCTAATATTATAATGTACACCAAACAATTCAATCTCCTACAATAATCATCTAGGAAAATCCCAGTTATAACAGCAACAACGATCATGTACCTAGGATAATATTCCCTTAATAAAACACATATGCATAATCTCATTGTTATCTCATTTAAGCATTTGACCCCCTTCCCGTATAAGAAACCATTTAATGCCATATTCTAGAAAATTTTCCACATTTTATGTTACACATTTGGCTTATTAGAACCACTAACCAGAGCAAAATTTATCTGCCTTTAATCAAACCACTCAGTCCGTACAAGATATTTTGTTGCATTTTCTAAGATTTATATCAGAAGCTGGCACAAGAAGTGTATTCATATGAATTCAAAATTGACAACAAAAAGGTAAAAGGTTATGATAGAATTTCAGGTGAGGAAACGTACTTGATGGTTGAACTTCAAGTTATGGGAACTTCAAGGTTATGATAGATGTAGGGCTGCGAGAATTCAAATATGATGAAATGGATACAATGATTAAGCAGACCAAAGAATTTAAGTTAGCAACACTAAGGAGGGCCTAATTATTAAGTGTTATCTAATGGATATCAGACAGACGTAACTGATGGAATTCAGCAGCCACATTAATATATTAGTAGTAACGGTGAAAACTGAAATCTCAAATATATTAATTGTTAATTAATTAATAAGTTACCGGTGGAATTAGAAGATGCAATTTTAAATGTGGAATCAGAATATATGTCATCCAAAGCATACACGAAATCGATTTTGCCGAATGGAATTTCAGAAAATGAAGCAAGAGCATACCAACCAGATCAAAAAGAAAAGAGGAATATTTAATCTAATGATAGATAAAGCAATAAGAGGTTCATTTATAAGAAATTTGGTACATTTGATTTGAAGGTCACTTGGAATCCAGATCAAAGCTTAGGCCAAAATTCTTTTGCATTCTTATTAATGCTGAATATATGTCAAAATTTTTGGATGACAAACAAATCAAAAGTTTTTAAGTTTACATTTGTATCAATATCCTGCATCCACATTAGCATTGGCATGTTGCGTAACTGGCTTTGCTGAGATAGTAAGGAGGTAGCAAACACAACTGAGGTTCTATTATTCCAAAACTCATAGCATCTTAGAGTTGCATAAAAAAAAAGGAAACAAAATCTGTACCTGCTCACCATCTCTAAGAACTGAGAAGAATAGTGACTTCACCTTCCTCGACTGGCTTCGACTCTGAATTCGAAATCCCTTCTCAGATCTCATGGCTTATTGTGTGACGTTGGTGGCTGGTGAGTTACACGGGGCTAGTGTTGGGAGTGGGCGCTTGCTTGGGGCTTCAGTTGCAGATTTGCGAAGATGATCCTTGCTTCTTCGTGACCTGCGACCCGCAACTCGCCAATCTCTAAATCTGCGAACTCTTTGTAATCTTCACTGCGTGAAGATCGTGGTGGGACTGTGCGTAATAGATTCCAAATATGACGAGGAAAAGGATATTGAAAGGGCCATTGCATGACACACAAATACTGCGCAATGTAAAAGTGAGCGCCGCATCATTGTCTCTTTGCGATTGACTCATTCCAATGCTCCCTATTTTTGACTTGCTCCACCTAAAGATATGAAAGCAGAGAGCCATGGTGAGATGATGCGAGAGGAGGAAGCTGCGGTCACTGAGGAAATCACATGGGCAGACCAATGCCGGGTTGTCACTGGACCACAGGATATTGACCCGCAAACCGCATAACCCGTTTCCCTCAATCGGGTATTACGGGATTTCATATTATAAGTAGATATATAGATAATAAAGAAATTAGTTAAATTTGTTATTTAATAAATATTACTGTTTCTTTTTTTTTTTTAAAAAAAAATCAAAGTAAGAGCTGTATCATTCATCAATCGTGCAGTAGGACTACCACAGTGCATACAGTCGGACGCAATTGAACAGGAAACCTCTGAACATCGTTACCATTAATAATAAAAAAAATGCTAATTAAACGATTTTAAAATGATGAATGGGTATTCAAATGTTGACATATAAATTTTTAATTCAAAATATTTAAAATAAAACCTTACTTTTATCAACAATTTTGTAAACAATTTAATAATTATGAAATAAATAATTTTATTTCTTTATTTTTATCATTGAAAAAGTATCTAACTAATATTTAAAATTTATATTATATTAAAAATTCAAAAATTATAAGTATTTTAAGGATTAGTGTTAATTATTGTTAACTTTTATACTAAATCTGATATCATAATAATATTGTCAACCGGAAAACCGGTGAACCGGTCGCTAGTCCTGTCTGTTTTGCAGAAAAAACCAGATGTGGTTTGAACTGGTGGGGAACCGGTCCAACCGGTAAAAAATGGTGTTAAATCAGAAAAAAACCCATTGGGCGGTTCACACGGTTTTGCCTTGAAAAAAAAAACACTCTTTCTCCCTCCCTAACCTGCCAGTCTCGACTCGAGCCCTCGGTCCTCCTCCAGTCCTCCCCCATTTGTGACCAAATCGCTGAGATCTCTTGCACCTGCTCTCAGGAGAAGACTGCGACCCACCTTTTGAGTTTTGTTTCGAACCCAATTTTTGTTTGAACAGCAAAGATATTGAACCTTCATCCGAAGAATCTGAAGAATTAGAAGGAGAAGAAACAGAGCCGTCTTTAGATTTCACTGACACCACCTCTTTCCCGCGGGAAGAATTCCACTTTGTCGTCCTTCAAAATATCCGAATGATCCGACATGTATCCAGATCGTGACTTGCCGTCCAAAACCATCTTACCTTGCTTGGCGAGTGAAAAATGAGGAGTTTGCTCATTAGATAAAGAACTAGATCCTGCTTTCCCCCTTGCCGAAGAGGTCTACGGAAGCTGCTTTGATTTAGTGACCGGAAACGATTTGAGTTTGCAGAACCGGGATTCAAGGTCAGTGGGGAGGACGGAATCAGTGAGGGAAGCGCAATTGATGGTGGAAACTTGCTCCAAAACGCAGGCGTCTTGAGCTTGAGAGATGATTTGGTCGATGGCTGACTCGTCATCCGTATCAGAAACGTATGTAAATCCAACCATTTCTGCGAACTGTGAGAGGAAAGGAATGAGTCGGTGTGTGAGTGTGAGACTATGAGTCGCAAAGTGTGAGCATATTAGTATTTTTAAAGCAAATGGGAATAGGGGGGGTTGGAATGTGTGGGACGAGAAGCTCAATGACTAGCTTATGCTTTGAGCCTCTTTTTTGACTTGCAGGATCCATCCACGATGGTGGATCACAGTCTTCTCCTCGGAGCCTTATGGGTAAGCTCAATACCTTTCCTTTTCACCTTCGGTTTAGCCATTAAGTTGTTTTTAGCTGCTTCTCTCTGTGCTGTGACTACTGTCGTGAGATTTGAGAAGGGAGGAGAGTATAAACATTTAAGCTACTTTTGACTTGATCCATAGCTGTCAGACTTGAGAAGGGAGGGGAGTGTTGTTTGACTTATTAGTATATTGATGAAGATATGTATTCTGTTAATGATCATTTTGTATAATTAAACATTTAAACTACTTTTGTAAGTTCTTATATTTCCTTCAGTGATTATTACTTATGAATTTTATTCCACTTTAATATTGTGAATTAAATTTTATTATGACCGGTCTGACTTCGGTTTGACCACGGTCCGACTAGTGACCCTTAACCCACTACTTGGACCGGTTGAGTTTCCGGTCCGGTTTTTTGTTTCTTGCATAATATAAAAGCTAACCATATAAAATTAAGAATTTACAATTTAAAATATTTTTGAAATATTATTTTCATGAAAAGTCAAGAGTAAGTCTTATAAAACCATGTTTAAAAAGTCAGGCATAGGAAATAATTATGTTTGAATAACTTTTATGTTAATTTAAATATTCTTTAATTTATAAATTTTAAATTAAAATTAATGTGTTGGTATTTAAATGCTAAGTCGTCATTTTGAAATCACTGACTTAGTATTTTTCATGGTATCATGTTTAAGGGGGCTAAATACATACTTCTTAAATTTAAATGATTAAATTAATACTTAATGTAAACTTAAATTTTGAAATGTACACTTTATCCAAATTATAAATATGGAAGGCAAAATGGATTGATATTTTATATTTATGTTAAAGTTAGATTTCATCCTTTAAATTTATCTCAACTTTCAGTTTAAAACCCTAAGCTTAAAAGGTGTATTTTTAGTCTTTAGCTTTAATACCTTTAGTCTCATTTAGAGAAAAGTACTGATTCAGAAAATTTAAACAATGACTCTACAATTGAATACTGACCAAGAATGCTCTAAATTTAATTCTTTAATATAATTATTTCTATATTTTAAAATATAAGTATTTAAAGAGTTAGATATTTAAAAAACATTAAAAATTAAAGCATGTATAAAACATTTAAATGTTGACTCTTCCTTCTTCTCTTTAAAACTAAACAATAATATTCAATGCAGTAGTGCCCAATGGGCTCAGGTAATTATTTAAATTTAGATTCTTTATTATTTTTTTGCTACATAATCAACATTTGATCAGGGTTTAAAGTAAATTAAAGTTTGAGGTTTACAAAAACATAAGCAGAGGATAGAGGAGGAAAGATAAAAAATCCAAGGCAAGCTTCGCTTCATTAACTAAGAAAACCATTTATTTCTAAATGTTTTGCAATGGCGAAATTGGAAAGTAGGAAAACAAATTCCCAAGCTTTGTATAGTTGTCTTTAAAAAATAATAATAATAAAAGGACACCATGATCTTATTATTTAAATATAAATTTGACGCAAAATAAAAACAAATAACATGAAGATATCCAAAAACCCAAATAATTACACAAGATCTGAAATCTCAAATGTCACCCCCTCCATTTCACGAGATGTTCTACAAATAAGACAAGCCAAAAGGCTGTTGAAATGGTAATAACTAAAATTTGATTTTAACAGTCATTCACCTAATGGCTGGTGCCTAACACTTTGCATAGACGTGACCTTATTTTTTCCAATGAAGCCACAATATCTGTCATATCAGGTCGTGCCTCAGGTACATCAATGCAACAGTTTAAGGCTAATTCAAAAATTGATGAAATATGTGGTAATATGTTACCAATATTTGGATTGTGTCTATCCAGCAGATTGTCATCTAAAATACTGATGATTGAATGTGGTATTGATTCGCCAATCCAATCTTTTAAATTTAAGCCTTGACCAAACATTTCATCTGTTGGCTTTTTTCTTGTGAGTGTTTCCATAAGCAAAATACCAAAACTATATATGTCTCCTTTAACAGAAACAGCTCCTTTTGATCCATACTCTGCATGCCAATTTGAATGCCAAGTAAAATAGCAATTATGTCAAAGAAAAGAAAGACTTTTTGTTAAAACATTGTGAATGTTTATCATTAATATAAATCATGGAATGTTGAAAAGCGTGTATATATATTCATCAGGAGGAATCGAGTAACAAAATATAGTTTCTTATAGGATGTGTATGTGTGTGAATGTGTGAGAACATTTTTTTTGGTGAAGGTATAAGAGAACTTGAAAAAAGAAATATAAAACATAATAAGATTACCAAATCATCACCTGGTGCCATATAACCAAATGTAGCCAAAGTTCTGGTAAAAATCTCTGATTGCCCAAAGCCCAACAATTTGGCAATTCCAAAATCACTGAGATGCGCTACCATATTGTTATCCAACAAAACATTGCTCGGCTTCACATCGCAATGAACCACTGGTGAAGAAGAACCATGATGAAGATACTCAAGTGCAGATGCCACATCAATCATTATGTCTAACCTTTGCAAGATGTCTAAACAATAGTTATAGGAGTACAACCATCTATCAAGACTCCCATTTGGCATAAATTCCATTATTAGAGATTTGAAATCATTATTTGAGCAACTGCTAATGATCTTAATAAGATTGCGATGACGTAAATTGCATAGCGTAGTACATTCAACATCAAAACTCCTTAATGCTTCTTCCAAGTCCAAGTTGAAAACTTTCACAGCAACTATTTTTCCACTTGAAAGAATTGCTTGGTACACAGACCCAAAACTTCCCTTACCAAGAATATTACTCTCATCAAATCTATTTGTTCCCTGCAAAAGTTCATAATAGGATATCCTGCGTGGGTCCAAATGTAAGAAATCCCCATTGGTCCTTTCACCCACCTGATGCTTCCTACACTTGACAAACACTATGCAAGAACCGACCAAAATGATTGCGACCATGATAGGCAATAAATATTTGATCAAAAGCATCATTTTAGCTGACCTGT